CTGACCCAGGGTATGTCTGCCGTAGACGATAGCGCACAGCTATAAACCCTTGTTAGCGATATGGCAAGAGAGAAAGACGGCGACGTCACTTTTGGGGATATTCCCGCGGTGGAAGTTCTTCTTGTGCTGGAAGAGTTTGACGGTGCCTTGAAGGCAGGCAATTTAGCCGAGGTGTTTATTATAAGACTGAACGAGTAAATTTACTCGTCGTCGCGTCTGGATGAAGCTGATTTGGAGGACACTCAGATGGTGCTGAGCGCACGAAGTGGATCGTCGATCTTGAAGGATCCGTAGGATTCGTATTATCCTCTGGTAATGGAATTTCAATACGTCGTCCCAAAGCCCCACCGTCGATCTTACCTCCGAACCGAGGTGTGCGTCATGAGATTGACCTGGTACTGGGAACTAATTACTGCGTAACACGCCAATGGCCCCTGCCTAAGGAGCAGTGTGACGTCATTGACGCCTCTTTCCGTGCGAAACACGAGGCAGGAATGGTGCGTGAGAGTTAGTCTCCCCATTCGACACCCACGTCTTGTGTCCGGGATCCGAACGGCAGGTGATGTATCGTTCTTGGTAATAATAAGCTAAACGCTGCCACCATTCCGGCACAGACGCCGATTCCTAGGAAAAATGTTATCCAGAACAATATGTTTGATTGTACAAAGTACAGCACACTCGAGTTGGTCGATGGTTATCACCAATTGCTCATTAGAGTGGTATTCCGCTGACAGCGGTGAGTACTTTGAGTGAGATGCTCTGGGAGTGGCTGGTGATGTCCCAAGGGCTATCAGAAGCATCAGCAACATTTGATCGTCTTGTGACGCAATTGTTCAGGCCCCATCGGGCGTATGCACAGACATACTTCGACAACATCTTCGTCCGCAGTTGCGCGGACTACGGGAGGACAGATGAGGAAAACCACATCGTTCATTTTGAAGTGGCGCTCGAGTGCATGCGTACGAATAAGCTGTATGCTAACGCCGATAAGTACATCATTGTTGCGGAAGAAATTCCCTATTTATGGTGCTTCATTGGGAAGCGTGGCTT